ATTAATTTTTGTGGTAAATACATACCAAATCGATCAGAAATACTAAAACCAATCCATGATCTACTTAAAGAGAAAAATGAATGGTTTGGGGAGAACAACAACAACATGCGTTTGAAAGTATAAAAAAACTTCTGACCTCAGCACCCCAACTAGCATTTTACGACCCTCGCTTACCAACTCTTGTGTCAGCAGACGCTTCTTCTTATGGTCTCGGCGGATTGCTTCTTCAGAAACATCATGATGGTAAATTCAGACCTGTTTCTTACATTTCAAGGTCACTTACAGAAGCTGAAAAATCATATTCAAATATTGAACGTGAAGCCCTGGCAATCACATGGGCTTGTGACAAGCTCAGAGACTATATAATTGGTCGAGAGATTGTAATTGAAACGGATCACAAGCCACTTGTAAAAATCTTATCATCTAAGAATTTGGATGACATTACACCTCGCTTACAGCGAATGAGGCTTCGCATGATGAGATACTCATATTCAGTGACATATACGCCTGGAAAACACCTTGCACCAGCAGACTGTCTTTCAAGATGCCCCATTCCAAGCAAGGAAACATATGACATGGAAGAAGAAATTGAAGCTTTTGTTCAAAATGTGGTTGAAAACATACCTACGACTGATGAAAACATAAACAGGTTACGGGAAGCTCAGCAAGCAGATCCCATCTTCAGAAAGATTGCAGTATACTGTCATACTGGATGGCCAGAAAAATCACAACTTCCATCTCAACTAGTCCCCTACTTCTCGGTTAAAGATGAGATATCACTGATGGACAACTTACTTTTACGCAATTCTAGAATAATAGTACCATCAAGTCTTTGTCAAGAAATGCTTCATAGAATACACGTCGGTCATCTAGGAGCCACCAAATGTCGAGAAAAGGCTAGATTCAGTTTATGGTGGCCAGGAATGGCATCAGATATAAATATGATGGTAGCTTCATGCCCAACATGCATCAAACACAGAGAAAATCGAAATGAGCCGCTCATTCCTTCCGAGTTTCCAAAACGTCCATGGGAAAAGGCAGCAATGGATTTGTTCAAGCTTAATGGCAAATGGTTCATTGTTATAACAGATCAGTTCTCGAGATATTTTGAGATTGCAACTCTACAATCGCTCACTGCATCTGAAGTTATTGAGAAATGCAAGTCAACGTTTTCTCGCCACGGTATTCCTGAAGTTTTATACTCAGATAGTGGAACGCAGTTTGGCATCACTAGTGCAGAATTCAGAAAATTTGCCAAAGAGTACAACTTTTTATGCAAAACAAGCAGTCCTCAGTTTCATCAGAGCAATGGCTCAGCCGAAGCAGCTGTAAAAATTGCAAAAGCTGTTCTAAAGAAGAACAAAGGAGATCCATATTTAGCTTTGTTGTCTTACAGGAACTCTCCACTGGCCAACGGTTACAGTCCAGCACAGTTATTATACGGACGCAGACTACGGGACAATTTGCCTACCTTACCATGTCATCTGGAGAACAAGCCAGACTTCAGTCATCTCCGAGAGAAGGAGAATCATTATAGACAAAATTACAAACGAAATTACGATCGACGACGTGGTGCTCGACCCTTATCAGATATGAACCCAGGAACCAAAGTTTGGATATCTGATTTGAAACGTGAAGGAAAAGTCGTAGAAAAGTTAAACTCACCACGATCTTATAAAGTACTGACGGACAAAGGAACCATAGTTCGAAGAAACCGGTTTCACTTACAACCAATGCCAAACATTCAAAAGGAAAGTTACCACAACCATCAAGCATCAACAAATAGTCAGAAGGATCATTGCCACAACCATCAACCATCAACAAGTAGTCAGAAGGATCATCGATCTGAGGAAGACAACGGTATGTGCTTAACAAACTTTTCAACAGATAACCGTAACAGTCAACCATTAACAAGAGGTCCGATGGATCATCATGAAGACATGCCAAACTTTTCAACGGTTCCTCCAAACACCTCTGGAATGTCTTCTGCTAACATAACAACCCGATCAAGACGACTTATAAAACCTCCCCAGAAACTCAACCTTTAAAGAGGGAGATGTAATGGTTGGCTCTACTGACTATTGTCATTTTAGTTTATTATCATGTGTTAATTGTTTTTGTTTACTTGGAGTTGATTGATACTAATAAAATACTTTTACCTAGATTATTCTATCATGATCAATTCTGATTTAATGGGTTTAATACAGTAACTTAAGCCTTCATATTTTGGTCTGTATAAACTGAACCAGTGGTGGGATTTGAAATCTAATGGAAAATCGTCATTGCGGAATTAAATTATCTAAACTTTTGTATTTAAAGTTCCTTTCTATCTCAAGGGGGTTTTGAGTAAAATATTTTTAAAGTCATAACTGTGAAAATTGACTTTTTCCTCATAACACAGTATATTTGACATAATAAAATACATAAATTAAATTAATAAAATGTGATTAAAAACGTAATGAACATGTGCTTGAATTACACCCTTACATTTTAGGAGTTATTGCTCATGCTTATTTCCGAAATACATACCGAATAAAACCCATAACATGACATTGAACAGTATAAACACATTAGGGTTGGACATTGCCAGCTTGATTCTTACTACCATTGACCCAGAAACTCCAATACTGGTAGAGACTAATACATCTGACTTTGTTGTTGCTGCAACTCTAAGTCTAAATGGAAGACCTATAGGGGCGGTTCACGAGCTCGGGACTTCATAGTCCTCCACCAGACGTTGGTCCCAGACTATAGAAGAAGCAACGACAAAAAAATGGGTTAACGAGTCAGAGCCTAATGATGTGAAAGCCAGGCTTATTGCTGGTCAAGACCAAATTCGCAGGGATTCGCAGGGAATTTTTGTTGAGACGTTGGTAACAACAGCCTGGAAACACATGTGAAGCCACTGTTGCTGACATGTTGAAATAACATTCTGTGGTTCGCCCGTAATCTTATTTATGTAAACAGCTATTGTTTTTTTTATTTACATTTTGTCTTGTTGCGATTTTTAAAATCAGTTTCATTGGTATTACGCGTTCATATTTAGGAAAACATTGTTTTTTATTCTTTTGGCATAGTTTCGAACTGAAAATTTGATTTATTCTGCTTTCATTTCCAAACAAATAGCTACCATCCAAGCTTTACTAACATCCAATAAATCACCAGTTTCTCGATGAAAAGTGCCATAAGCGAAAAATCTGACACTGAAAGGAGACCCTCTGCTATTGAAAGGACCATTGTAGAAGCTGTACGGAAATTGAAAAACTTTCTTACAGGTCATCATTTCAAACTAATGACGGATCAACAAGCTCTTTCTTTTATTTTTCATATAAATCACTTAAGTACCGGTAAGATAAAAAATTACAAAAGACTTGAGTTGTCTTGTTACAGTTTTTATATCGTGTATCGTCCAGGAAATAAAAATGTAGTAGCAGATGCATTCTGAAGAGTCAGTGCTTCTGTTACTGAAAGGCCTTATCGTCTCTTTGAGTTCACCAAGCACTAGGTCTGGGTGTGACTGGATTAGGAGTAAGAATCTCCCATATTCTGTACAGGAAGTTAAAAGTATAACAACGTTGTGTTCTGTTTGTGCTGAGGTTAAGTCATGTTTTTACAAACCAGTTGATCAGAACCTACTCAAGGCTACTTTGCCATTTCAAAGATTTTATATTGACTTTAAAGGACCTATTCCATCCAGCACAGAAATAAATATTTACTTACCACCATAAATGAGTATTCAAGATTCTGATTTGCATTTCCATGTAGAAATACTAGTTCATCAACTGTGATAATTGTCTTACTGATCTGTTTTCAATGTTTGGAATTCCAAGTTACATACACTCCGACAGAAGATCTTAATTTTCATCCCAAGAGTTGGTATTGCTTTTGCATTCTCGTGGTATCCCCACAAGTAAGACAACACCTTACATCCAGGAAACGGACAAGTCGAGCGCTTCCAACGGAACACTTTGGAGAACAATAACTCTTGCACTGAAGGCAAAGAATCTACCAAATAGGCAGTAGAAGCGTGTTCCCAATGATGCTTTGCATGGTATTAGATCTTTACTGTGTACGGCTACCAATGCAACCTCCCTTGAACGCTTTTTTCTACACTCAAGGAGATCAAGCAATGGAATTGCTTTGCCCACATGGCTAGCTAAGTTTACCTGGATCAGCTCTACTGAAACGCCATAATCAGTCAAGCAAGAACGACGAGAAAGTGGATCAAGTGAAGATTAAGCCAACCCTCATGTTCAAAATCAAAATGGACAAGAATCGAACGAGTTTTTAAAGCATTTGGCTCCTCGAGGGGATGTGAGACTTCTCAGAGAAGAAACTCGCACTGCTATGGTCCAGACATCGAATTCTCAAGAAGAAGAAGATGAGGTACAAAATGACGTACAAATAAATGAAAATCCAAACGACGATTTGGAAACTAGTGAAAGAGTACCAAATAAGACCAATCAGGGAGAAAAGACTTCCAACAAATTTCTTTTGTTACTAATTCAACAAACAATTTAACCAGGGGATAATGTGATGATTTATAATGTTCTTGATATTATACTTTGATCAGCTGTCCCGGTTACTATGAAAATTCAACTTAGGAAATTTAACTTATTTATTTGTTGTTATTCTGTAATGATGTTTTTTAATCAAATAAAGCCTTAGAATTTTAAAGGGTTTACATTCATTATTTCAACACAGTCCCATTCCACATTAAAGCTCGAGGCAGCACTAACAGCCACGAGGAGCCTCTTAGACGTTTGTTGGCCAAAACACAGGCGCTCTATGTGTAAGCAGTCATTTCCAGCTACGGTTTAAAGAACGTGCAGTATAAGACACTTTGCAACACCTCCGTGTGTGTGTGTAGCTTAAAGCGGGGATTTAAGTTTTCCTTAACCTTTATTTTTCCTTAACACTTTCCCCTAATTCTAAAAAAAACATTTAATTATTAAAAACATTCAATATCAGCAATTGTTGAGCTTAATTTGTCTATCCAGGGAAGGGATGCTTCTTGGAATGTGCAATCCTCTGTTGGACTTGAGTGCGTTGGTGGATAAGTCGCTGCTAGAGAAGTACGAGATGAAACCTAACGATGCGATACTTGCGGAGGAGAAGCACATGCCTCTGTACCAGGAGCTGGTGGACCAGTACAAGGTGGAGTACATCGCCGGCGGCGCGGCACAGAACTCTCTCAGAGTTGCTCAGGTAGCCTTTACCAACCCTATCTTGTAATCTATCTTGTAATTTATCTTTTTTGAGACCTTTTAGTACTCCTCTCTGTTTTTGTTAGAGCAGGCAAAAATCTTCTTACAAATTTTGTAGGGGTTCAATACCCTAAGGGTGTGTGAAAATGCCTCCTCCATCCTGCGCTCTGGTGAGCCACTAACAGAGGCGTCACACTAAAAATATATTAGGGGGAGACACTTTGAATTTCCCAACTATTTTACACAAATTCCCCAACTATAATACTCAAATTTCCCAACTTTATCACACGGATTTCTCAACTATACTACTCAAATTTTTCAACTTATTACTCAGATTTCCCAACTAATTAGTATTAAGTTTTAACAGTAAGAAGGATATTTTACCTTTAAATCCTCTTCATAGTTGGCATACACAAATACCAAGAAATGAAGGTTTCTCTCAAATTATTGGTTTGACTGTCAATCTTCATTGTTCATTGTTGATTGTGTGTTGATTGTTGTCTTAAGTGCCTCAACAAATAGTCACACTGTGGGTTTACTGATCAATAACACATTCAGTTTTCAATCTATAAAAATCAATTTATAATAAAAGCTCAGTGGATACAGCCCTCCAAGTGTAGTTCAGAAATAAATTTCCCTTAAAAGCCTTGAATTACTGTGTACCACAGATAGGTTACGTAACGTACTATTCTACTCAACATATGAAATTCCCAACACTTTTTTACTTTAATTATTATTTTATAAGGGTAAATGTCTGCTTAGTTTAAAATTAACTTTTAAGTTGACGGGTTAACAACAGTTTCAAACTTCCCAAAATCCCAACTCATACCTTCAAATACCCAAAAATTCCCAACTTTTATACTTTAAAAAAATTATTGGTGGGGATGGCTCCCCCCCCCTATCCCCCTTGGGCGACGCCCCTGGCCACTAATAACGCCCCTGCTATCTTTTTTTGCCTTGGGTTTCTAGTCACGGATAACTTGATCTGGAATAACTTCATGTAATAGGAGGGGTCAAATATTGTAAAGAGGAATTGTTGTGCAAGTAGGATGGGAGTGTTGTTACATTACAATAGCTTGTTGTGCTGACCTACAGAAGGCTGTTGCTTTAAGTAGGCCTGTGCACTTGATCAGGGGGTCAGCTATGTGTGTAGTGATAGTGTGGTGTACCCCAGTAGGGTCCTACTGGGGGACCTGGAGCTTAAGGCCTTTTGCCTTGGGTCCAGGTAAGACAATCAGGTTTTCAAAATTGGGGTTTGGAGTATCTTTTCAAATTGGGGTTTCTGTTTTAAATTAAATTATTTAACACTGTCCCTGTCTACTCTATCTTTTCGTTTGTGTTGTGTTCTTTGTATGTATAGTGGTCTGATAATAAAGTTGGGTTTTGTAAGTGGGTGCTGAGCGTTTAATTCATGAGCTGGCCCACCAAAAGTAGCGGTGGGTAAGCTTCCAGTAGCCGGAGGTTACCTACCGTTACATTCATAACCAGATAGGTTTTTTGTTTTTGTTTTTTTTCAGCTCAGCTGCCCATTTTCCATCACTGTGTGGATATAGCTTTATGTTCTAGCTTCCTTCCCCATTATGATTTGGCCCAGAATTCCCTTCGAGTTGCAAGGGTACTATTTTGAAACCAATCCTATTTTTAAATATACTTAAAGTATCCATATTTAACACTCTAGGAAGTTTTTTAACTTTATTGAGTGAAGCGAGCGAAGCTCTTATACGTCGACTCTTATGCATTTCGTAATACGCAAACTCCTCCTAGAAGGATGAAGCAATTTTTTCAAATTTTGCATGGTGATAAAGACCATATCGGTGAGTGCTAAAATCTATATGGCGTTAAAAAATTCCCAAAGGAATCCGCCCCACGGGCTCTCAAAGTTCCAATGTAATCCTTATGGAAGCAGTTTTTGACACAAAACCAAAGGCATAAGATCAGCTGTTGACTTAAAGGAATTATTGTAACTGATATCACAGATATTAGAACAGAAACAGTATGGATCAATAAACTTGATGTCACTAGTTCGAACCACTAATAACATTAACGTAAGGTTTGGACGAGTTTTGACAATATAATTTTAATAATAATACAAACATGTTTGCTTTCGGTCTAGTGACGTCATTTTTGATGATAAATACACTTTCTGTTCTAATATTCGTGCTGTTAATCATCTTGTAAATTTACTATTTAAATGCATGATTAATCTTTGGTTTCAGTTTCAACATGATTAAATATTTATAACCTAGAGAACTGAGAGAACTGACAAAACAGTCAGTGTTTTTAAATGAGATTGTAAATACAACGGAATCAACCTATGGTGACGGCAGTGTTCTCATATTACCACAAATTGATTGTCCTGCTTCTAATGTTAATGGCTAAACAATTCACACAGCACTAAGATTGAATATACAAAATTTTAATGAGCTACAGGGGGGGGGGGAATGAATCTTCAGATTTTGTTCGAAAACGTTCGTGTTGCAATTTGTGATAAAATATACACGTGTGGCTAGAAGCTACTAGCAATGATCGACAAACGCATACGTCAAGCGAAACCTGACGACCAAGATGAAGTATTTGGTGGTCTTATTGTATATCACTTTGGTGATTTGGATCAGTTACTACCAGTGCAAGATCGAGCTTTATTCATACTATCTGATCATTCAAATCAAATATACACATAGACATTTTATATACAAACACATTCAAAAAGTGTTTCAACTAAAAACTATCTTGCGTCAATCCGGTGAAGATTAGAAGTCATTTTCGTAATGATCTTACAAAAGTTAAAATAAAGTAAAAATAAAAGTAAATTGCTCATGGAACAATAACAGAGAAAGATTATAGATTCTACGACTCATATAAAAAAATACCAATTGCCAAATTTCTCAATGTTGTTCATATCATGGCAAGAAAAGAAGACATGCTAAACGTGACTACTGACAACCTTAACAAATTGGCTTAGCTACAAAGTCCTGTAGCATTAATTCGTGCTATGGACAAACCTTCAATAGCCAAAAGGAAGTTCGATGAACGTTGATCCTCACTTTAGCCAAAGGGTAATTATATTGTATGCTTTGAGTCATGTTACGCCACAACTTATGGACCAATGCAGGATTAGTCAATGGTGCTGTTGGCACCTTCCATGATATTTTATACGAACGTGAAGAAGTCTTATCACATTTGGAAAAGCAGCTTTTATTTTTATTAGTTGAATTTATAGATGACCCAACATTATGCAATACAGTGGTATCGGATGTCCCTATTGTAACTAAATTTGTAAAACTTGGCATTAAGTGTACCTGAAAACCATTTCTATTGACACATGCTTATTCTCTCACAATTCACAAATTCCAAGGCAAGACTCTGAACCAAGCAGTTGTTGATATTGGATCAAGAGAATTCAGTGCTGGGTTGACGTATTGCAGTGAGCGGCGTCCGAACGATAGATTGGTTTTTTGACCCAGGATAACCAAAAGAACATCTGATAAGCATTAACAAAAACTCGTTCTGAAAAATAAACTAGTCGAAGATCAATGTTTGGTATCATCACCTCCAATAAGCTTAGTATCAAATCCAATTTTTATTTCTGCTTCATACTATTGATCTCAAGTAGGTGTCAGGTTCCTTAACTGTCTTCCTGAAAGGCTTAAAAGTCTGGAAAGTTCCCATCTATTCAAAACTAAACTGAAGCGTGACTTGAAAAATCAGGCATTTGATAAAAAAACCTCTAAGTAACCTATTGTACTGTAAATATTAGAATAACTATGCTACACAATGTCAAAAGCAATGGATAAATAAATAAATCAAACAAAATCAATCAATTTTATAAAGATTTTTTGTTTTGTTTTAGTTAGACATTTTCACTATCGTTGAAATTAATTCATCCAATTAATATAGTTCATACTGTATTAAATTCATGTTTAACCGTTTAACACAATTTATATTGAGTTAATTGGCTGGTTAGTTTTTTATTTTTTTATTTTTGGAGGTCTTAGATAAAAGGGAATGCTAAGTTATCAGTAAGCAAAATGGGTAGAAGCCGAAACTGATTGGGTTAAATGTTATCACTAGCTGAAACTGTACTGCTCTGATTGAGAATTGTTAATATACCACGCCAGAGGTTTTAATCTTAAAATGCAATTGCAGGTCTCAAAAAAGCCATATAATGACATCTCAGTGTTTTTAACAAATTGTTTTGGGAAATATTTTGTAACTATTTTTATCATTCTAACAATTTGTTTACACATTGAAGCTTGATGGTGATGGTCAATGGCAGTATAATGCCATGATGACTCCGCTCAATTTTATGGACGCGACTGCAAACGCCACCTAGTCTATTTAATTCATCTAATCCTTCATCTAAAGGACTAGTATCGAGCATTTACAGTACTTGTGAGTTAAACCAATTTATTTTATTATTTTTTATCCCATAGAGTTGATTTTTACTCTTAACAAATAATTACCAAGTTGCATGGTTAAATTTAGTAGTAAAAATGGTGGACCGACAGAAAATATTTAATTTTGCTATTCTAGTAAAATACCATAGGTGATGATAACCTATTTTTACAGTGGGTCCTGGGAAAACCGAAGGTGTGTGTTTTCTTTGGATGTATTGGACGTGATGATTTTGGAGAGATTCTGGTGAAGAAGGCAACAGAGGACGGAGTGGACGTCAAATACCAATACACTGACAATCAACCAACCGGTGAGGAACTTGTAAACCTATGGCCTGCACTCACTCTGCTGAGTGTCAACTAGACGTGATACAGATGTTGTCAAAGGCTTCCTAGTCAAATCCTTCAATACACCTTATTTATTTTTATTTATCCGCGACAAATTTCAAAGTAAAGTAGTAGTATCTCTGGATTGGTAATGGCAGTCAATTAGTCTAGCCTTTACCGAGTTTTAACTTACAGTTAAATAAATTACTCTAGATACTGTAAATTCACTTCTCATACCAATAATTTTTAAATTTTAAGCTTATATTTCTATTTGTCTAGTAATGCTGTGTTGCTGTTGACTAAATATTTCTCACTTATTTTAGGGTAAATTATAAACAGTGTGTGCTTGACTTTTTTCGTATAATGCTAGTAGCTAAGCTAAGCAGTAGGATTTGTATGCTACTTATACTTATTTATATTAAAGATACCAAAGTTATTGGAAAATTAATATTTAATTTTTAGAAGGCTCTGGATTTACTTCTTTGGCCAGTTTTTCTTTTCAAAATTGATTCAAGGGGGAATTTTACTCTTGGATTCTCCTTGATCTAAACAGGTTATTAAATTCAAAGAGAGCATACAACACACAAAACACGATGCATAACTAGTTTTCCTATCACCAGTCTAACATTAAAAAACATAACAGTTTACTCATCAGCAGGGGTGTCATGGTGCCGGAACACACCAAAATGCCCTTTCGGCACTGGGTTTGGACAGAAGTGGAAACTTAATAAAATCTGTTACAACAAAGTTAATAGTAAATACAGAAATATTTTTCCGTGCAGACAAAACAATATTGTGCAAGAAAAGAACTTAAAATAATGTTATGTAGCCTACAAAATAAAAATCTAGTTAATATTGGCCTAAGAATTAAAATGTAACATAATTGTTGCCAAAATCTGGAAAACTACGCCACTTGGACATCTACGCGAAGAAAACACAGGTCAGCTGATGACACAAGATTACATTGGGCCAAACCTAAACAATCTGAAGAAAAAATCCATCTTTTATTTAGTTTTGTTTATTTGAGTAAGGTTGAGAGAAAAGTGGTAGAATCATCAAAGACTTTATTTAGAACGCCGTTTCATGAAATATGATTTATGAAATGAAGCCTTTTTATTCACAAAAAAATATGTGTAAAGTAATGGTTTTTATTTGCTTAACAGCATTATAAAGTGTTTGTAACATTTGTTTTTGGTTATTTTTTATCCTAACCTACAATACACTATAGAACAAACACTATTTGTTGGTAAAAGAAATATTCTGGTGATTGTGTCTGTATTATTTCTGCATTATTCAAATATGCTAGATATCTAAGTTTTGATACAAGTTAGCAGGTAGCATAAAAAATAAGCCCAAAAATCGTGTCAAAAAGTAAAAACACTAAATAGGGAAATTTTACATTATAACATAAACAATTCTGCTATGTGTAGTTGGAGGGGGGGGGGGAGGACTATGCAGTGGCGTTGCTTGGTTAAATTCCAGGGTGGGGGGGAGAAGCCTCAAATTTCCCAACTGCTTAACATAGATTTCCCAACTATTTTTTTTTAGAAATCAATTTCTGTACTATTTTTAAAAATCTACAAATTATTATACTACACTGCAGTCACACTCAATTCAGTATTTATAAACTTGCATTAACAAAACATAGCTAGTTTTACATATATACAAAATTACTCAATTTCTAAGGCTTCTACCAATTCATAATGAAATTTTATGACTTACAAAAACTTGAACAAGTAATGTTTCAAATCCAAAAAACTTTACAAACCATTGTGGTAGCAGACGTAGCAGTGTAAAATTTTAGGGATATAAAATAAGCCTAGTACAAATTAGTATAGAAAAAATATTTTATTACAAAATAATGAAATTAAAATACTTTTAGAAGTTAAGATCAACATTTTAACTTTCATAAAACTTACAACTAGGGTAGGCCTAAACAAGTTTGTAATGATGAAATATTAATATCAGTGTTGTGAATAATATTATTCTAGTCTAGAAAAGAATAAACCTAAAATAAGACTCGTGTAAAATAAAAACGTTCAACTTGGTTGATAATAAACTTATAAATACAATACAAATTTTAACCTTCATCTTCATCAAACTAGAACTTAGACAAAAATCAAACTTAGAGTGAAAGTCAAACATCAAATTTTCGTACTCCGGTCAGTTAGCCTGCTCCAAATACCACAAAAAAAGGTATAAAATATATTTCATGTGACTGACGTGAAAAATATTTTTGAATTTCTTGTAAACACTAACAAACAACATAATTGAACTGAAGAGCTACATCGCTTGCACTTTCAAAATTCAAACTCGCAGTCTCGCAGATGAATCATTCAGAATCATCAACACAGGACAGGATCAAGGTAGCCAACATACGTCCAATAAGGAACAAAATTTCTCGTAAAGAAATTCCAACAAGCTATACCGCTAATTGATTATTGATTTCTTAAAATAAGGCGTGTTTAGCCATAGCCTTGTTTAATCAAAGTTAAATGAAATCAAAGAAGCGTCAAGTTTCAAGGTCCAAATCAAAGACATTTTTATCTTTGATGGATTTTTGCAAATATTTAAATTTTGTTTAGTTTAAAAATATATTTTTCTTGTATCTGACTTCCCAACTGTCCCAACTCGTGGCAAGGAAATTCCCAACTTTTCTCTTTCCCAGATTCTAGGGGGGGAGGCACCCTCCCTACCCCCCCCACAAGGTGACGCCCCTGGCTATAGGATGGCCTATACCTTAGTTCTGGGCCATGTGCACTGTTCTGCCACTGCAAAAACTACCTTGACACCACTGCTCATCGGGCATTTTAATGTAGAACATTTAACATTCTTTTTCCTAAATATTTTAAAGAGTTTCACCTACTTATTTTTAGGCCTAACACAAGTGTTACCTATTCAAATTATCATCATATGACGGGCCATGTAGGTACTTGCGCCGTCCTGATCACCAACAACGGCACACAGAGATCACTGTGTGCTAACCTCGCTGCGGCTAACCACTTCACAGTCGACCACATCAACCAAAACAAGAAAATTGTACAAAATGTTGACTTTGTTTACGTGTCAGTAAGTACAAAAATATTGACTTTAGATATTACTTTTGTTCAGCCGCTTAGAAAGCAACCTCCTCTAGCATTGGTTAGCGTGCAGGTCGCTTTCTAAGCGGCCGAACTATAGTTGATCTTTTGTCCTGCTGTAAAATCTGATGCTTGTTTTTATGTGTGTTTGATTTCCGCTAACGCATAAGCGTAGAGAAGTCAGCTAAATGGTTCTCTCTTATTTTAGAGTAAGAGTAACTCTACCCTATGATAACAATGTTAAACAAATTGTATTAGCAGTAGTTAACAAAAACTATATACTTTAACTAGTTACTTTATAGTTGGTAAAATAACAAAAAACTGATTGGTGATGCTCTCAAAGTGTTACTGGACTTAAACATACAATATCCTTACTAATCCAGCTATATATGGAATCAGGTAGAGCTTTATCAATTGAGGGGGGGGCCTAAAAAGTTATTTAGCACAGAAAAGTAAAATTGTTTGTATTTGTTTCAATGTTTAACAGATTATAAGCTATAACAATTTATTATTCAAACCAAAAGTCAACTTTACTGTCAAATGATCTTTAGTTGGTCTATAAAAACTAATCCATTCAAGTGATTAGTTTTCTCAAAAGTGCATGGGTACTTAATCTATATAAATAAAATTAGAGTTTTGTCTGTACATTGCTCAGAATCATATTTTTTTGGTTATTTTTACGTTTTATACATTAAAGAAGCCGAAACAAGTCTCATCTAAATTTCTGTCTGTCTGTCTGTCTGTAACACTCAAGATGGCATTTTACGCAATCTTCTCCAGGAAAACGAGAGTACCTATCAAGATCCAAGTCATTTTAATGTATTCACTGGATTGGCGAGTGTCTTTAGCCATTAAAATATGGCCTCAATACTTTGTAAATAAAATTACAGACGTTCAAAAATGCAGTTTTGTGAGATTTTTTTCAAGTTTTCGTCCAATTTTTATCACATAATCATCTATGAAATAACGAACAGCTGTTCGGATCAAGATTATTTTTTCTAGCTGTCACTGATATGTTTACAAATGTTGTTTACAAATACCGCAACCATATCCGATCACGTTTTGAAGGCAAATCCCATCCAAGTGAGATTAAAAACGTTTTTCTTACATAAAGGATTTAATTAATCGCAAGTGGAATAATATATTGTAACCGTAAATTAAATTAAATAACTAGGCATCATCCAGGTCAGGAACCAGAGATTCTTTGTGTAGAAAATTGTTCTGAAGTTTTGATAACCAGAAAGAAGACATTGAATCAGTGTTGTATACGGCTGGGAAACTTAAATTTATTAATGATTGTCGCCAATAGCTTAGAAACAAGGTTCCACTCATTGACAGCGCTTCAATGGCGGTTGTGTAAAGTGTAAAGTAAAAAATCACAACTGCAGTGGGTGATTGTAACAGAGGTTTACGGATGATGCTAAACTCGATTTTACAATTTGTCACTTTCTGTTCCTACCATTGACTATATAAAGTCAATAGTTCCTAATCACCGCGTGATGCTATCGCTGGACCATACAGCCAATAGGCCCATAGCCCATCTCTTGGGTACGTACGCTTACCCAATTATTTATAACAGCCTTTTCGACGACGATCCTTGATACCGGTACTTTTCCCTAGAATACACAGCCTCCCTACTTAAGAAATAAAATTATAAACGTCCAAAAACCCAACGTTGTGTGATTTTTGTCACATTTCCTTCTAATGTTAATAGATATACAAATCTTTGTTTAGGGAATACGTAATCTATTAAATAACAGAAAGTTGTTGTATAAGGTTGTTTTTTTTCCAAACTGACACCGATGAGTTTACATTAAGAGTTGTTTACAAATAAAGCAATTGATGGGAAATAACTTTGATTGCCGATAACTTTTTGAGAGAAAATCCAAAACCAAGAGATCAATAACCTTGATTAACGCATATAATTGGTCGGATGTACTACAGTTCTTAACTGTAAACGTTGGTTTTTGGTACGGTACTGGTTCTTTTCCTTCCTGAACCGTTGGTAGCAGCAAGAATCATTTTTACGTACCAACACATCACTGTAATTTACAAATTAGTTATCGTTGGTGTTGCACCTTATTTATTACAGGCGTATTCAATTTCATTGATGTCTTAACTGTATAAGTTTTGCTTTTTCTGTCTGGATTCCAAAATGTTAGTTTATGCTAAGAAAACGATAACGCATTTTAGTAAAACATTATTCAGCAGACCATCATGAATTGTTCAAACGCTTTGAACAAAGTTTATGTATCAATAGTTCGTGGCCTATTTTGGTAATTTTTATTATAAATTACCAACCTAAATCGTCTATAGATTTACTGTACTTCATTTCATATAGCAAACCGATTCATATAGCCTAGCATTTCGACAGAATTTCGGGTCATCTTCGGTCCAAGCAAATATAAATTGTTATGATAAAATTTTATGACATTAACAAAGATTTCAAATACTAATTTTATATGTACTTTGTTATGCTTAAAGCGTAGCAAATTCCCTAATTAAGTTCTGTATTTTGTGTGTATGTCTGTTGGTAACGCATTAATGTCCTTATTTCTCAGTGTTTCATGGAAAGTACAAGAGCACCTTGAAAATGAAAATGTCAACCCGAATAAAGTGTTAAATTGTGAGGTTGAGATAGTACCTTAAATACTTTTAACCATATTGTGGAAAGTAACTTTCAATTATAGGCCTACCTTAGGGCTATATCTTATAGATCTATAAAGCATTTTTTGAGCGTAGCTCTTTGGGATCAACTTCAATGCAACAAATAAAGCAACATCACTCAATAACGGCAGAACACATTTCAGCTAAACTTAACAAGATTACTTAGACTATTAGTGAGATGGTTAATAAACAAACAAATTTCAATTAGATAATGCTCATTCAATTTAAAACGAACTTAACATTTCCAAATTTTAACATTAGGCTTATGGGACTAAAGTAGCCATATGACAGTTTTTTGTTTACAAGGAAAATGTAAACAAGAGAATCATAAGGTATTTCTGAACTTTCTAGACTTTTCTTTTAAACGTTTTTAAACCATTCCTATGATTTTAATAAACAAGAAAATGCCGTTAAAACATTTTTTAAGGCGCGGAATTCACTGAAAATCGAGAAAATATACGTAACTACTTTCTCAATGCGCGGAGCATAAACAAGGAGCGGAGGGATACGGACCAGTGACTACTTTCTTGGGAACCTATTTGTGTTGCCAGCTGATTAGAAACAGCCAATGTTAGAAATCAGGATTTAATAAGCGATATATCGAACTGCATCGAAATCGATATTTAATCCGATAATACATCACAGGTTATATTATGTTGAATAACATCGACGGTGCAGTAAGTTATTACACTTATTAATAAAACGCAGATTGAACACTGATCTAATTTAGGCATGTGGGGAAGGTAGGTCGGGGTTTATGAGTTAAGGTTAGATTAGGGAGGTAAAGTGTAGGTTATAGGTAGGTGATCGAGTTGTTTATTTGTGTTGCACCATATAATTTTTATCTTTTGGAATAGTTGGTTAAACGGGGAAACGATTTCAAAAATGTTTGCATATGGTCTTAACAAACCATCTACTGTATTCTAGCATTGACTTTATATAAAGTCAATGATTCTAGTAAATTGCTACATACAAACCAAATGAAAAGAACACTTGGATTTGGACCTTTGACCATAGCAAAACTAACATATAATTTATGAAATGTGAAAAGTTGTATATCATTAAATACTATTCTCTAATATCAATAATTGTTCGGCAAATCCTCATTTTAATGGCTGGGCTGAAAATGGAATCTGCGTTTTGTGAAACAGTAATTTGGTAACAATTCAGTAATTTCAAATGTTGACAACAGTAGCCTATCCTATAGAAATACTGTTATTTGATTGCCAAGCCACGGACTATACATACGTCCAGTTACAACCGTAATAAGTAAATAATTAATTACCAGGACTTATAGAAGTACAATTTTAACCAAGGTATGGATAATCGTCTAGGCCTGTCCAGAAGTAGGCTACTAATTTATAATTATATTATCTACATTGTATTTTTAAGGCATGACTTCCCTTCTTATTATTATTCTGTTTTCACTTAAATCAGCTGAATGGGATGTTTACTTATTACTTATGTTTAGGCCTACATTTCAGCCATCTTATTTTATTGTTCAATAAGTAAGTCTTTTTGCAGTTTTTACACATTGAAATACATGATTGATAATTCAGTTCATTTTAGTCTTTTAAAGGTGTTTTACATTTGAGTCTTACATTAAAATAGCCCTACATTTTTCGTAGGCCTATGTTTTATCTTTGACTATCAATACAACTAGACGTTCCATCCCCATGTTAAATTTGTAACCAGCTTTTTCATCAAAATCTTCTGTATCCAACGGCCAATGGTATTATTAAGGACAGTATTAAAATGCCGTCTCTAAATCGTCCTAATAATGGTAGAAGACCTACATTCCAGTTACATTACAATCATATCATCCATCAAGAATACTTGGTATTAACAATAATAAATTATTTCCAGCAAAGAAAAAAAGCTGAGTTTAACCGATTGCAAGGGTTGAAATGAAGACCAATGTTTATGTTGCACAGTTGAAGTTAAATGCAAAATTTCCCCTCCTGTTGTAATACTTTAATACTCGTTTTTTTAATAGTTACTGTTTTTTTTTACTTTAATATAGCCTACTTTAACCGATTGTAAGGGTGAAAAATGAAGTCCAATGTTTTTGTTGTAGGCTACAGTTGAATTTGAATGTTAAATTTCCTTTCCCTTTTTTATACTTTAATGCCCTTTTTGGATGTTAATACCAGATTCCAACTACTGTAATATTTTCCTGGTCAAAACTACCATAATGCACTTTTGGAAGAGGTATCTGAATAACAAGATGTAGTAAAAACAAATCTGAATTATTATAATTTTAATCAATAAAACCAGCATTAGTACATCTATTGACTTTTTTACATTTAGTTACTTATACAAATATCAAATCACGTTTGTTCCGCTCAACTGGCTTTCACCTCTCTGAAAGCAACCCTAGTTAGTTTAATCATTGGATTTGACACATGGGCCAACAAGATCCGGGTTACATTTAATTGCGAAGCATTCGTTTTGGCTTGAAACTGTCAGATACTGTATTTGCGAAGGTTTATATATACAGTAATAGTTTTGTCAGCATATCTGAAAGTATGCAAACCAACTGCTGTGCTTTATATAAGAAGGTTTTAACTGACTATGATGAGATCCCCGTGCATAGAACGGGCACACAGCTAGTATTTTATATATGGATGATCTTCAAACATCAGCTGGTCAGCTGTGAAATGAAATTTCTGTGTTTATTGATTGGATAGAATACAATGTAACTTCTGTATATATTTTATTGAATTTTTTATTATGTGTGACCAACTTACCATTCAATAGTAATTTCTTTTTCAGGGCTTTTTCCTGACAGTTAGTATAGACTCAATCCTAGAAGTGGCAGAAGTAGCTCTCCAGAAAAACAAAGTTTTCTGCATGAACCTCAGTGCCCCGTTTCTATCACAGTTCTTCAAAACCCAAATGATGAAAGCGATGCCTTACGTAGACATTTTGTTCGGAAACGAGACTGTGAGTAGTATTTATTTTACGTTATTTGTCATATTGTGCCATATTTTGATTAATTAAAATGACCTCTCTCACCATTCATTCATTTAGACAGGTTACTCAAGGGTTATATCCCTTTTATATACAATCAACAAGACAGTGTTTATCCTATTTCGCACTAATATTAATAATTATTGCTCACGCTATATCTGTTTCACATTAAGTTACCAGTTCTTATCAATGTCAACTCAACACTATTGTAAAATGGCGTTTGCCGTACATGTCATAAATAAATATACTGCTTTAATATTCAAGGTTTCTTGACTCAATCATTGGACATATCTAAAAATCAATTATGCTAAATTTCGGGTCAATATTTGTCATAGTGGTATTTGACAATGCTTTCTTAAATTTTGACAATACTCCCAATAAATGGGATTGTTGTTGGCAAGGTGAACCCTATCTAGAATATTTGTAGGTTAGAAATAGAAATTTAATCATCGTTTTCGTTTTTCATCCACAGGCCAGAATAGTTGACAAGATTACAGGTGGAAGCCTATCTCCCAGTTTAAACAAATTCAGAACTCTTAAAAATTTTGATAAAACTTTCTCTGTTGGCTAGCAGAAATTTCTATATGATTCACACACCAAACCACTTGTAAATGGTGACTGAAAAAAATTGATGTTTTAAAGCATTTTACTCATTTGTTTTTCTTCAATTATAACTTATTACATTATTAAAAATATTAAAATGGTCGTAGACTTTTGCCATTTCAGAAATACAGCTATGAATGATACCTCTCCTCCTCTCCATAATTACTATCAGGCGTACACTATCTGTATGAAAAAGTCCTTTTTCGGTTGGTCACTCTGTATTACTCTAATATATTTGATTATGGGTACATTTTCCACAGGAAGCAGAAGTATTTGCCAAAGAACAAGACTTTGCAGAACAGAAAGATCTTCACAAAATCGCCCTAGAGATGGCAAAGTTACCCAAGCAGAACACCAATCGCCCTCGCATAGTGATCATAACACAAGGAGCTGACCCTGTGATCTTGGCTCAAGGTTTGGAACAAACTGTTAATCTTTGTTTTATACATGGGTACAATCTTTGTTTTACCTAAAGGTAAGTTTTCCTAGCTGCTGAATTCAGTTGCCGAATACTGCTCATTTTTCAGCGCCAACTCAACAGACAAGAGTCAAGTACAGGTGTTTTCCTGGCTGCCTCATTCGGCAGGGACTGAATTCCGCTGCAGGCTGTTGGACAATCAGTCTCACACTTTGCAGCGACATTAACATGCTCCTGGACTATTTTTGGCATAGTTTTTGTGCAGTTGTAAAATTTACTGGTTCTCAGTTGTGACAGTGACTTTGTGTTGACTTCCATTAGTTTGATGATTTTATTTCAGTTACTTTTAATTCTAAAGGGTAAAATTCCATCAATTCAACTTTAAAATCTTATACTATGTTAAAAAACTTGACTTGACTTTTGCTAAACTTGACAGCTAGCCTAACCATACTACTGGACCGAATTACACGTGGATTGTACCAAAAGAAAGGTTATCGGTCCTACATGTGCAGGTTTTATTTGTACTTTGAAAATATTTATGTGTATTAGGTCAAAAATAGAAATAAAACTTTTCTAATGGAAATTTGACAAGGGGCCAAATTTTTTTAGCTTACGAAAGGCACCCTGACCATACTGCTGGACCGATTTAGACGCGGGTTGTACCAATTGAAAGATTGGTCCTATATGTGCAGGTTTTATTTGTACTTTGAGGATATTTGGCCAAAAAAGGCAATTTAACATGTCTTGTAGAGATTTGATTTAAGATGGGGATAACTGTAATTTATTATATTAATTGAAAGATAATAATATTCCCATAGTATATAAATGATTTAATTAGTGTTAGCAATCATCAAAGCTGGCTCCTTGGGCCTGTGATTTGAGGTAACCTGTGTCCTCTGGTTAAATTTAAGATTTCAATGCTCGTTAGCGACTTAAATGATATAACTCCCAGTCAATCGGCCAAATCATCTCAAGTCATTGCTAACTAGCTAACCTCTACATCTGAAGATGTTAATGATTTTGCCGCAATCACGGACAACAAAGATGATGTTTCCGTAACCGCAGGAGTCAGTGATGTCTACACGGGCACGGGAGATGTTCATATATTTGCAGTGATTGCAGAAGATAATGAATGATATCTACATGGCCACGGAAGACGTTCATGATTTTGCCGCGATCGCTGACAACGATGATGACGTTTCCGTGAACGTAGGAGTCAATGATGATGTCTACACGGTCACAGGTGATGTTTAATGATTTTGCTATGATCACACAAGACTACGATGACGTTTCCGTGACCACGGGAGTTGATGATGTCTACTCAACCGCATGAGATGTTCACGATTTTTCCATAACCGCAAAAGACAGTGATGAGTTAAGAATTGAACAAGATGTAATTGAAGAAGATATTTCGGATTTTGCAGTGATCCCACAAGACAAAGATGACAAGTTTCTATGACCATTGGTGATGATCACGATATTGCCTCGAGATTAGCTTGACTGAAAATGTCAGGCTAGCGCACCTCTATAATATAATTTTCTTTATAATTTTTTTTGTTAGATCTTCATTTATCTAAGGGTTTAAACCTAAATTGGCTAGTTGTAATGTGTCATTGCTGCATACATTTTTTCCTTACTTGAAAAACACCCCATTACCTCAAAAATACACTTCATGGAAGGACTTAAAGACAGGGGTTAGTGTTGTATAACCAATCCATAGATTTTTCAGTTATTGGTGTCGAGAATCGATAAATTTTGGTATCAACACATCACTAGTTAAAACCTTTTTCTTGCCATTTAGTAATTATTTGTACCAAAATAAATTTTTGTCCGAAGATAAACAATTAAACTAGAACTAGTTGTGGGTCTTGAATTTGTTTATAACGCCGCACATTCAGACTTAAAGAACGTCTTAACCCATTGACAACGGATATTTATTTTATCTATTAATAAAGTTTTTTTAGGTTTTGTTCTTTTATCACAATAATATGTATTTCAACACTATAGGTCCATTTTTATCCAAAATAAAAGCAAAAAAAGAAAAATCTGTGTCCTCCTTCTCTATACCAATGTAAAAAGAAGCAAAACAGGTGTTGTGAGCAATAAAAATAAAATAAAATAAGTAAACTCACTAGTGTTGTCAACTTCCACCCAATCCGGACACTGTTTATTTAAGATGGGCCCTCCAGTCCAGCTAAGCCACAAATTAGCAAGCTCAGTATGGATTGTCCATGTAACAGATTCAAACCCTTGCATATTTTCTTTACCTCCCACCTTCACATCCTAGGACGCTAGGCACTAGCCCAGAACTGTTTTATACATTACTTTGGTTCTCGGTACAAAATCGGTACGGTATGCGGCTACCAGTAATTATTTTTGTTTTCTCCTCAGAATTGTATTGAAACCATTATTTTTAATTTTAATACATTGACATTACCTACAATGAAAATGGATAGTATCCTACATTTCCCACACATTATTAAAACTTTATTTTAACGGTATTGTGCCAAGAAATAAACAAAGTTAAGATAAAAGTTTCACCTATTTTGCTACTAAGTTAAGTCCTTGCTTTGATAGTAGGGGTCTGCGAGTCAGACTTTCTTTGGTTCGGGTCAGACCAAAAACTGTTAATTAACAGATTTTTTGTTTGTTTTAACCTCTATCTGTTTATAATAATACTTGATAATAGAATATGTAAAAATGTATTTATGTATATTATTTCATTGTCATCTTATTTACATCTTGCAGGGTGTCTAGTAGTCGGGAAAATCGGGAAAGTCGGGAATTAGTATTGAATTTCAAAATGGTCTTGAAAAGTCGGGATTTAGTCTTAAATTTGATTTCAAAGTCGGGAATTTTCATTATTTTGCCGCGATCGTTGTCTTGCGTTTACGTAACTGCGAAAGCCAATGATGATGATGTCTACACGGCCTCGGGAAATGTTCAAAATTTTGCCGCGATAGTGGAGGACGACGATGACGTTTCCGAAACCACGAGAGACGACGATGACGTTTCTGTGACAGCGGGATACGACGATGACGTTGCCGCGACCGCGGGAGACGACGATGACGTTTCCGTGACCACGAGACACGACGATGACGTTTCTGTGACAGCGGGAGGCGACGATGACGGGAGACGACGATGACGTTTTCGCGGCCGCAGGAGACGACGATGATGTTTCCGTGACCGCGGGAGACGACAATGATGTCTACACGACCACGGGAAATGTTCATGATTTTGCCGTGATCGCGGACGACGACGATAACGTTTCCGTGACCGCGGGAGATGACGGTGATGTCTAAACAGCCGCGGGAAATATTCATGATTTTGCCGCGATCGCGGACGATGACGTTTCCGTGACCTCGAAAGACGGCGAAGATATCTGCTCGGCCGCGAAAAGTGTTCATGATTTTGTTGCGATCGTGGACGACGACGATGACGTTTCCGTGATCGCGGGAGATGACGATGACGTTTCCGTGACCGTGGGAGATGACGATGACGTTTCCGTGACCGCGGGAGACGATGATGATGTATACACGGCCGCGGGAATTATTCATGATTTTGCCGTGATCGCGGACGACGACAACAACGTTTTTGTGACCGCAGGAGATGACGGTGATGTCTAAACAGCCGCGGGATATGTTCATGATTTTGCCGCGATCGCGGGAGATGACGATGACGTTTCCGTGACCGCGGGAGATGACGATGACGTTTCCGTGACCGCGGGAGACGATGAAATGAAATGAAATGAAATGAAATATTACTTTATTATCACAAAACATTTCACAGATCCAGCGTCAGCTGGTGAAACAGGTGATATTGTCAGAGATCTTAAACACTAAGTTACATAACAAAACTAAAATCCACATAGCTTAAACTAAAATATATTTACTTATCATTTAAATAATCGGAAATATTATAATAATTTTTCTGTAAAAGGTATCGTTTGAAATCATTTTTAAATTTTGAAATACTGTTAATTTCTTTAAAATTAGTGGGTAGACTGTTGTAAAGCCTTAATCCCATATAATAAGGAGATCTTTCATATAAACAAAGGCGATGTCTTGGATATTGAAAATTTTTTGAGCGTGTAAGATATGGATGACTGATTTGTTTATCATTGTACATTTGATAATTAATTTTAAAATTCACCATCATTTTAAATATATAAAGTGAAGGCAAAGTTAATATCTCATATTTAGCAAATAAAGCTCTGCATGAGGTTCTTTTAGGCATAAATGATAAAATCCTTATAAATTTCTTCTGAATTTTGAAAACTGCTTTAGAATAAGAAGTTGCTCCCCATAATTCAATCCCGTATTGCAAGACAGAAAAGAACATTGCATAGTACACTGTGAGTTTAGTTTTTAAATCTATTACATTTCTCAAAACATACATTTGAAAGCAAGCCGTATTTAATTTACCAACTACCATTTTTATGTGTGTTTTCCATGTTAAATTCTTATCGATATCTAAACCCAAAAATTTTGCATTTTCAGTAAAGGATATAATATTATTATCATCATAAGATAATTCAACAGCGGCGTTTTGCCTATTCTGAATTGTTTGAAATAACATCACCTGTGTTTTAGAATTATTAAGTTTTAGCCCGTTGGCTGTAAACCAATTAGATAAATTAAGAATAGAAAGACTGATTTCTTGTTTAAGATTTTGCAAATTATTTGATTTAACTATTGCTGTAGTGTCATCAGCATATAAGATAAGGTTAGACGATACATTTCGAGGTAAGTCATTTATAAATATTAAAAATAGCAAGGGGCCTAGTATTGACCCTTGCGGAACCCCACATTTAGTGTTAAGCCACTGTGAAATACATTTTTTACCATTTTTTACGATTATTGTTCTTTGATGTCTGTTAGTCAAATATGAATGCATCCAAGACAAAGCCATATCAGAAAATTCATAATATTTAAGTTTACTCATTAATATATTGTAATTTACACAATCAAATGCCTTGGATAGATCACAGAACACC